ATGAAAAGATTGTCAGTGGACTCTTGATTATTCACTCTTCTCTACACAGCTTTCAGAACACTGATTCTGTTATTTGCTACACTAAGTTTTAGGGGAGACCTTAGGAACCCACCCATCCAGTCACCATACTCTAGAGCGATTCTCTTTCTATTTTAAATAATGGAAAAGGTTCACCGAATCATTGAAGAAGAAAGGGGTCAATTCAGTGAAGAAGATATTTTTGTTTTCAACATGTCATTTAATGAAGTCGTACAATTGAATGTACAAGCATGAGAAACAACAAACAGTCTATAATTTACTTGGTAGTGGCTAGCAGAGGAATCTAAGAGGCGAATCCCGTCCTATTTGGGACTTTTCAGTACCTGCACCTCTGTAAGTGGTGTTGTTCCCACCGGGCTCGAACTTCGTACATCATCATCATCATCATTATCAAACATAGGACCAGGCATTACTGCGTAACGGTCCGAGTTGCGATGGGTACGAACTTCGTACCCATCGCTTCAAACGCACAAGCGTTATCTACTAGGTCACTGAGGCACGATAACTACCTCTTGTGCAGCGGGTATCAGTTATTGCTATTACTATCACAAGTATATCAACAAATAGTAATAATTAACTGTCCGTTATTGAATATGTTGAGATTACATCAGACACTGAATCAGAATTCAGTGTTGCATATTTCCTTACTTTTGTCATCTCGCATGTGGTCATCGGTCCACGCTGTTGAGACGTCACAAACTAGGATGTAGTGGCTTTTCCGTTCTGCCACGTTTTACTGGCTCTCCAACTAACATTACTTCGTAATGCAGACCACTTTGGCGTTAATCACTTCTGCATACAACAAACAGTTAAATGAAATTTTAATTCCAATGATATCGAAAATAAGATTTCTGATAGCTAAATGATTATATCGCGACGATCTCATGACTCAATAAGCTAATGGATAACGTCTTGGTATTTGAAGCGATGGGTGCTGCTGAGTACTCTAGTGTCAGTAGGAATGTCATTACTTGGATATAGGCACATCCAGCTGTGATGAATCTTAAGCGGGATGAAACGTGCATTCTGTATTCTTCTGCCATCCACCGTTAAGAAAATCATAACAATTAAGTAACTCATTTTCTGTGACCTTATTTATTTCGCCGGCTGCTTATACAAACCTACACATGCTGAGAGAAAAATAGTAGAGAAATACTAATCCTCCTCCCCCATATAAGTGACCTGATAGTTCTCTTTTCTATTCTCCTTGTTGTTTTCTATCGTAACTACTTTGTCACAGCTGAATAAATTACATTATGTCTTGCGTCCCATTAAATCTAAATAGATTTTCATACTGCACTGAAAAAAAGTTTGTGCCCGTCTCCTGTTTAGCTAACTTTTTCTGTCTCCAGGTATGTCTGTTGTTCAAATTAGTTAATTGACAAATTAGTAAATGAGATAACTAGTCATCGGACAGGTAATCAATATCATACTTTTTAATTATCAGTAGCCAGTTGAATTCAGTCCATGGAACAGCAGAAGTATAGTCAGTATACTACCACCAGTTAACGCGCTACCATGGTCGAAAAATGGTTAAGTGTTATTGTATCTTGTTTATTGGTACTAGTACTCAATGTGGTCCTGCAGGAGGTCAATCACAACTCGGGTAGCTCTGCGATAACGTCTCTGGCTACAACCCTGTATGAAACTAGTTCGAATCTCTCAGGGAACATCAGTTCGTTCTAGTTTGCAGATACTTGTTTCTGAAGAGTGCCAAAAAACACGAAACCTAGTTTCCAGGACTTCTTACCGGTTACCTCCAACTATTTATCAGTTTGATTTCTTGTTGATTATTACACTGGAGCGAGTTGATCGCTGTCTGTCAGCATATGCACTACTGTGCCTGGAGATTTATGATGTATTTTACTTCTTGGTAGCGGCCAGGACACGTGTTTCCTCCTATTTGTAACTCATCAAATGTATATATCTGCATCCGAGTTAGTGAGGGTATCCCCGCTGAGATTTGGATTCAGCATGCATTGTGTCAAATGCCAGAGCGTTATCCACTAGGCTAATGGTTAGTGAAGAGAATCTAGACTTGAAGTGAGATACAGATCGCCATGACGGTTTATAATTCCGAATAAGCTTTGTTTCTAGGATAATACTACACACAGTGGTACACTATTATTTACTAGATGACGACATTTCAAACAGTTTATTTATTTGATGGGTTTTGGGAATTAACTGATTTGCAAGAAGTTTCCATTATGGATTGACATCAGTTGGAGAAATATTGAAGAGCTAGTGGCGCTGGTCAGTTGTTTTGTCTTAGTTTGAGTTAGGGATAGACTCTAGAACTATAAAGTTTCACATCCATCATGTCACTGTTCAGCCAATTAGTTGGAAGTCAGTCGTCCGCATTTTCTTACTCCTATCAATTCAGGATACAGAATGGCCATCAATTATCTTATGCGAATTGGTTTACTCTAAGTGCCATGACTTCTGATTAGGACTCCTAGGAATTCATCTCGAAGTGTCTGATGAACACTGGACAGCAATTTGTTCTGTGGTTTGTAGAGACTATGTGATTTTTTTTATTACGGACTGGGGTTATCAGGTTAGTTGAAAAACGTTTCATAATTTGCTTTTATAGTCTTAGAGCGTTTCGTTACTTGGTTTGAACGCCATCAGAACAGGTTTTATATATGAAATTTCTGTCGAATCATTTGTATCCTCTTTGATGTTGACTTGATGAAAAAAAGTGTGGTAGTCAATCTCTTCATCTAACTGTTACTCTGTCCCCACCATACGGTGTATCACCGCATGTATGGCAATAATCATCATGATAATAACAATAATAATAAAGTCTTCTTCTAGATAACCTATTTTGACAGTCTATCATTCTAAATCTGGCTAACTTCATATGCTATGACAACATGAAAGCTTGTAGAACACTGCTACTGGCGAAGAGGTATAGGCGGAGCCTGCGATGAAGTATGAACTTCATTTGATTAGTTCATTTTGGATCACTTCAAACCCTATTATACTTCACGTATTAACTGAACAACAGCTTTTTCCCTATTACGGGTGAAAGAGATATTTACATATACACGCTTGCTAATTTTTACACACATCTATTAATGTCTTTTGTGCGTGTGTGTGTTTAGCAGAAGTACACAGCTGAACGTCATGGTCTTCGTACAGAATCAATCACTAGTTTCTAAGATATATTCGTTCACTATCAATATAAGTGTTAGAGTTGTCATCGCCATCGTCATTATTACTTCAGTGAATGATTTAATTGGTAGATAGGTGTAAAGTGTTTACAAAGACCTAATGATTTACATGGAATCATTAAAACTATTGCAAACCAACACAAACATACACAACTCATCAGTGTGATTAGGAAGCAGTATGAATGGTGTTAGGAGTTGGAATTGCTTGTTCTGTACTATTCATAAATATAAGCGTGTTAAGTATACATATTTACATCGATTTTCCCTCCACCTTAATCTTCTGATGTGCTATTCTACCTCTTCGACGTAGTCACCTCTGCTACGGCCACTTCCGCATTCAGTTTTCGCTTGTTTTTTGTATACATACACATAAACACTAACGGACTTATCTTCCTTCCTTTCTTATTTTCATTCTAATCCTTTAAAAGTACAGTGGTTTTAAAGATCAATAGAAAAACCAATTATTGATTAACATGATCATCAGTAGTGTTTACATAAAAAAATACTGCACTGTATGCGAAATAATCGAATTGAATATATGCATAAATAAGTACTATTGATCTATCCAGTGTTTTTCTTCAGACTGTCGTGATTTTACGGGTAACGTTTGTACATAAATCCATATTTTTTATACAGCACTCACTTCCATAACAGTCAGCACTGGCTGTTAATTTTTCCTCTCATTTCCAATACTCTTTTTGAGCGAGAAGGTAACTTACATTATTGATGAACTGTCTATAAGGAATTTTTTCCCATTATACAGGTTACCCGTATATGAGATATTGATTCTTCTAGTTTTTCTTTCTTTCCTCCATGAATTATCTATTCGTTCTTCTTATTTCTCCTACTTTTTGGTTGTTCTTCGTCCTTCGATCAAAAGTAGTTCACATGTACTTATTCAGTCCACAAGCGAATACTTCATTCGATTCTGATGGACTACATTTGATACTTGGCTTCATGACCCTCAACAATAAGTTTAAGTTTATTCAGTTGAGCCCGGTTCACACAATTTAGAGTTGATCATTAATAAACATCTGATAATTACGGACAAGCATGAAACCTAAATTCGAAGCCTCCTACTAACCCCCCCCCCAAACATCTAACTAACACTGAATAAGGTGTTGAGTCTCCTAAGCTCGATGACAATGTGGCAAACGTAGTGCATAGAACTTAATCAGCATTACTCTAGGCAACATAGCTCAAGTTATTCTGCAGTAACCAGCCAGCATATGGGCATTTCAATCTTGATAAAGTTTATTGATTATCACTTCAGGAATATCTTCTTCAAGTTACATCGTGAAAAATTACACCGATATATGTTCACTTTTTAGGCATTCATAAATGAAGTAAAAGCCTATATATGTATAGTTTTTTTGGAAATGTTTTTATTCGCTCTTACTTACCTCCTACCTACTTAAAACCACTTACAAACATTTAAGTAGTATATTTTGGATAGTTTAATTTTCAAACTTTCTCATAAATCCAGCTTTTCTGCTGGCCTCATACAGCTACAGTGACATTCGAAAGTAGTTTACTTTCTTGTATATTTTTTTATATAGCTTAGTTCGGTTTCCTGTAAATACAGTAGTAAGTGTTGACTAAATTAGTAAATTTGTTCGTCATCATCATGAGAGGAAAAGTATATGAGAACTGTACAATGATGGGATTCAGCAAGTAACTCACTTTATCGGTTCTCTGCATGAATGCCTAATTGAAAATGCTAATAGTAATTTTTGATAAGACTGGTTGATCATATGAGAAGGCAAGATATCATTTATTACAGCCCAGTCATTAGTCCCAACTGAAGTTTGGTGCAGATGGCTTGCAGCGTTTTAGAAGTAAATAAAATAATCGGTACTTCATACTTTCGTATCCACGAGTAAAGTGTCTTCGAGAAATAGCTACTCTCAAATATTTCTATAGAAGCATCTTGGCGATATGTATCCTAGAGATAAAAAGATTAGTCCCGAGAAGTCTGTATACATCAGGTTGATATGCAGTGGTGAGCAAATTGTTACCAGGGTCAATAAAAAGTTAAAAGCTGCAATCAACAGCACATTTCCAGCAGCCAGATTTATAGCTATTTATAATGTAAGCGATTCAGTAATGCAAACCAAAGTAGACTATACCGGTCATATCTAGTAGCCTCCAGTTGCACTTACCAATTTACGTTTACACTTAAAAGTAGGTATATTGGAAGGATAGAGAGATTGATATCTACACGCTTTGCTGAACATATTCCAAGGAATCGAATGGCATCAATAGGTCATTAACACATAGGAACTGAATACGCATTTAGAAGAATCACTAAGCAATATTTCGCTCCATGCAGACTATCATAATCAGGTGGAGTTGTGGCTCATTGGTTTCAGGAGTTGAATTTCAACTGGTGGGTCACGGATTCCAACACTACTTCACTTAACCAAGTTTGATCACTGGCCCTCATACAATAGGTGCGGCTCACATCCGTCTATACGATTGTGCACGAGGTTATTGAGTGGATATCAACTTTTCATCGTAATCAGATAGTTAAAATCTAACTTTGTGTTCAGAAGGAATCAGCGGTTAACCTTCGGTTGCCTTTACAACAGTGTAAAGAATTTGATTCTCCCTCTTATTTTATTCTTTGTATTAACTGTGATTATAACTCATTGAGTTGGACTCAATTTTTGACATAAATTTTTATTACTACCATACTCTTGTTTATTCTCTCGTATTAATAATTCTTTGGGCGTGATTTCAATCAGTTGTAAAACTCTGTCAATGGCGTGTCCAATTATTGTGTCTTACAACACTGCTTTCTGAAAACTTTTGTCGTTCCTTCATATGACCACTTTGTTGTCTAATTTTCATGTTGATTGCTCTATGTTTTAGAATTTCGACTGTTTTTTCTTTAACTTATATGCAGTTGAGGAGAATGCAACGAAATACACTGGAACTGTTGCATTATGGAAACCTAATAGTTCTTTACTCTGGTAAAGCCAACTAAAATGTATGAAACATCTGCTTCCATCTATTGAGTTGTAGGTCAGTTGTCTAGATAATCACCTGCCAACCATATGACTTTGGTTAAGTTTCATTGCTTTCACTTCTACCAGTGCAACGGATTATTATGGTTAAGCCTTACACATATGAATTAAGACTTGTGACTGAATACTGTTGTGACAATGTCAGCTTCGTGATTTATTTTGACAATATGTTTGTTTTAATCATAAAAAAGGCACGAATCAGTGTTCTGTTACACTTCATACAATCGTGACATTAACTGAGTATTTTTTTTTGGTACAGTTGTTTTTATTATTACCAGTGGTACCAGTGTTGTCCAGTAATAAGTCAATCATCCTTCATCTTAATGACTGAAATATGGAGTATATCTTGGAGAAATTAGATCCTAGTTCTTTATATATGTTGACAAGCATGAAAGCTAACCTGAGGTGATATGTATGTGTGTGTGATTGCTTCCAACTCTATTATGATCCTTTTGTTATATACCTGTAGCTGAATACGCATTCTTTTTTCGTTCACTGACTGTTACCTTAGTTTAGATTCGTCAGTTGGCTATGTGCTTCACTTTCTTAGTTGGGCTCCATCCAACTCCCAAGGTGTACATCGTAGATTCTACTGCTAACCACGAGAGAACAAATAACGGAAGGAATATGCACGCGATCAAACACAAGTTTAACTGATTTGATGCACTAAAACGAAAAGAAACTGGAGTTTTAAAAATTGTGATAATAGGGCTAAACTTAAGATAGCATAATGAGAGCATCTAGGTGTTAACTAACTGAAACATGTTTTCACATTATGCTGTACACGTTTTTCAAGTAATTTTAAATGCTACCCTATCAACTGCTGAGATAACCTATCATGTTTCTTCACTTGAAAAATAACTACCTTCCTAGCTTAATACCGAAAGCTGATTGGTTATTTCAGCGGTTGCTAGGGTGGCCTTTAAAGTCACCCCGTATAGTTGCATAACCTTGCTTGGTTAACTAGTTACTAGCCGGTCCTAAGCCCGGGTAGGGAGGGAAAGTTGGGCATAGGGCTACCAACCCTACCCCATAAAACCAATCCAACCGCTACAGAAACTTCAAAGCACAGAGAACCCAATCAACACCACCACCACCAACAAGCTCCAATCACCATCAACGGGAGAAACTTAAGGGAAGTAGCCCCTTTCACTTATCTAGGCAGCATCGTTTCAACTACAGGCAGCACAGACGAGGACGTTGAAGCCAGGATCGGAAAAGCGAGACAGGCTTTCATTATCCTAGAACCAGTGTGGAGATCTACTGCACTCAACCCAGCATGGAGAACAAGATCCGGATTTGCAATACTAATTCAGTCAAGTCAGTGCTTCTATATGGTTCAGAAACTTGGCGCGTTACGAAAAGCATTTCCAACAAACTACAGACATTCATCAACAACTGTCGCCTACACTCACTCGATACTGAAGATCAGATCAGATGGCCAGAATAATAAGAATAAGCAACAAGGAACTATGGCCTGCCAACGAACCAACCAAGAACCAATCGCTCAACAAATATGCAGAAGGAAGTGGAGATGGATTGGATGTGCACTGAGAAGACCATTCGGGGACATCACGCGCCAGACCTTCGAGTGGAACCCAAAGGGGAAACGACGAGTTGGGTGTCCTAGCCGAGGGTGAGGAAGAAATGAGAGCTTCTGGGCTGTCGTGGTGCCAGGTTCAAAAGATTGCAGAGAACAGAGTGCGCTGGAGACGTGCTACTGAAGCCTTATGTTCCACTAGAAACCCAAGGGACAAATTATTATTGTTTTATAGTTGCATATTAAATAGGTTGGTTTGGCGTGGGATGACTCAATCCACTCGATCTTTTTTGCCGATAAGATTCATTCTGGTAACATTTTTAAACTTTAAATATTCTATTACTGTTTTGTTTGTCCACTTCGTGGTGTAAAGGTCGGCATATAACACACATACACGCACACACACCCTTCCCATTATTTAGTCCTCTTCACCCGAACTGCCCTTTTTGTTTTTAGCATAACAATAAATGAAACTTGATTACGCGTCATCGAAATTCGCATTTTACATGTATCCTGATGGCTTAATAATAAAGATAACTGTCCAAAATTCTATAGATCCCAGTTGACAGTCGCCTCAGCACTATCCGACTGAATGGCACAGTGAGAACTAAAAGGAATAGTGAGACTCGCCGTTGACTCTTTGTAAGCTCTGATTATGCACCCACTGACTGCAGTTTGGATGAAGTAAGGACAAGTTCTACTGTAAACTGTCTAGTCTCCTTTCGAAAGCCAAACATTCAGACGTGATGGCTGTTACGGGTGATTTTAACGCATAGGTAGGTGGGTAGACTGAGTGAGGTAGAAAGGCACTTAGGTGACACTTTCAGAATCTCGGCTGATCAGATAACCGCTTATTTTCAGGTAGCACAAACTTCAGACATAAAGAAAGGCACTGTCTGACCTGGCGTCCACCGACCTCAACCCAGAGATGAACACAGATAGACCACATCGCTATTAGTCATCGCTGGAGAGGATCGGTGGAAGACTGTTGCTGTTTCTGGAGTACATATTTGGACAGCGATCACGCGTTTGTCCGAGCGCGTATATGCCTGCGTCTCAATGGACATAGGAAACATTTGGCAACAAAACCACTACGAGTACTGCTGGATAACGAAAACATCAAAGCTGTGTTCAGAGAGAAGTTGGCTAGGCCGTGTCGGAGCGGAACACTATCACTCATCCAGAAAAAGCTTCGTGCCATCTTCAGTCTGCTGTAAAAGCAGCACTGAAGACTGTAGCCGACTCCAAAATAGTGACAAAAGACCCAGTGGATATCACAGCTTCTTCCGAACTAATGGATGCACGTGAATGCATCCCTGCCTGCAGGCTCTGAGTACAATGAAGAGTGAGCGCAACTAAGACGTAGATTGAGAAAAAGTCTACGCAATGATCGCGAACAGTGATGGGCAGCGAAGGTTAAAGAGATGGAAAAGGTAGCGGCAATCGATAACAGTAAAGTTATTTAGATTTACTAAGGAGACTGGGGGGAAAAGGTCAACAGCAGGTAGTGAGGTTATAGCGGAGAAGGACGGATCTGCGATTCACTCGCAGGGGAGATGACTGGAACGATGGGCAGAATACTTCGAGGAACAGTTTAACTGGCCTTCAGCCACCATTGCGTTGCCCGCTATCCAGTCGGATCCTGAATGGAATATTGAGATACGCCCCCCAACACTAGAAGTCGAGAAAGCAGTAGGTAACCTGAAACGGGAAGGCCAGCAGGACCAGACGGACTAACTCCTGAGGTGTACAAGGATGGTGCTAAGGTGCGCTTAGTCAAGTCAACGGAAGTATTAACCAGTATATGGGAATCAAATACGATCCTCTCTGACTGGTCTAAATCACTGATTATTCCAGTCTCCAAGAAAGGTGAGAAGTTCTCTTGTGATAACCACAGAGGGATCAGCCTGAAGAACAGTGTCTAAAACTCTTGGTTCTACAATTCTTTGACGCTTGAGTGCAGCTAGGGAACAGCGAGCCAGAGAAAACCAGGCAGGGAACCTTTAGAGCCGGCCTCGAGTGTATCGACCAAGTATGCACACTGCGCCAAGTTTTCGAATACAGGCACGCTTACCAATGCCCGACGATAGCTGTATTTCTCAACCTGAAGACGGTATTCGACTCCGTTGACT